GACGAGGCATACCAAACCGACGGACTTAAATTCGCAGTTTGGAAACGGCTCCTCCGCGGGGAGGGACGCTGGCAGCGAGCCCTGCGACCGCCGGTAGGAAGTATTTGATACCGCCGTGTCCGCCTTCCCCCCCGCCTCTCCCTTCCCCCTCTCTTCCCCGTTATTTTCAAGCTCGTCGTATCCCTCACACCCCGCAAGCCACTCGAGGACTCTCCTCGGCCTCCCCGCCACCTTCATACGAACTTTTGCATCTATTCCTCCAGTTTGCACGGTTCCAAAGGTGCAGAGGGCTAGCCCCCCGGGGGGGCCGCCCGCCCGCGGTCCGCCGCGGCGGGGGCGTTGGGGGCAGAGCCCGGCGGGCTGCTGGGGGCCTGTGCCCGGGGGCCGCTGCCGCCCTCTGCCTGCGCTCAGCCCCGGCTCCAGGCGTTCGGAGCCGGGTTTGTTTTAAAAGGATTGTGCAACGCCTTGTGCAATGCCTGCCTGGCTCCCTCCGGAACGCGCAGCTGGGCTGCGCTCCGCTTCCTCGCCCCGCTTCCTACGCTCTCCCGCGGGGGAAGGAAGGAACAAAAAGTGCTTAGGGGGGGGATTGGGGGTGGGGGTGGGTGGAGGGGGGCAGGGAAAGACTGTCAGAGCGGAATTAGTTTTATCTCGCTTGACACCGCGGCTGCCGGCCCCGGCGGGCGGGGGGAGCCGGGGGGATGCCGGCGGGGAGCGGCCGCGGGCGTCTGGCAGCCCCCGGCCGGGCGCTCCCTCGGCGGGCGGGGGACGCGGCGGCCGCGGCCCCCGCGGTGGGGAACGCGGGCGCGGAGCTGCCCCGCGGCCGCTCGCCCTCCTTCCATTTCCTGATCCGGGGTCCGCGGCCCCGCGCGGTAATTGGCGCTGGCGGTCAGGTGGTGATGGGGTGGCGGGGGGTGAGGGGGTGTGGGGGGTGTGTGTCTGTGCGTGTGCGTGTGCGTGTGTGTGTGCGCGCGGGTGTGTGTGTGTGTTGTAGGCGCTCCAGGGGTGGGAAGAGAGGAAGGGAGGGGAGTGCGGCGGGGAGGGCGGGGGGGAGGTGTGGGGGGGGAAATCTGGAGGCCCAAACTTTGGCAGCGGCGAGCACTTGACAGCAGCGGGAGGGGGAGAGGGAGGGAGGGGAGGGAGGGGGGGGGGGGGAAGGGGAGGGGCCTCGCCGAGCCCAGAAAAACGACAACGCGAGAAAAATTAGTATTTTTGCACTTCACAAATTAATGACCATGAGTTCGTTTTTGATAAACTCCAACTACATCGAGCCCAAATTCCCTCCCTGCGAGGAGTACACGCAGCACAGCGGCAGCGCCGCCAGCTCCGCCAGCTACCACCCGCACCACCCGCTCCCGCACGCCCCGCCGCCGCCGCCGCCGCCGCCGCCGCCGCACCTGCACGCCGCGCACCCGGGCCCGCCGCTGCCCGAGTACTTCCCGCGGTCGCGCCGGGAACCGGGCTACCAGGCTCCCGCGGCGCCGCCGGGGCCGCCTCCCGAGGCTCTCTACCCGGCGCAGGCACCCTCCTACCCCCAGGCGCCCTACAGCTACAGCAGCGCCGGCAGCGCCGCCCCGGGCCCCGAGCAGCCGCCCCCGGGGGCCTCGCCGCCGCCTCCGCCGCCCGCCAAGGGCCACCCCGGCCCCCCCCAGCCCCTGCTCCCGGGCCATGCCCTCCAGCGCCGCTGCGAAGCGGCCCCCGCCGCCGGGGCCGGTACCGGGCCCGGCTGCCCGCTGCTGCCCGACAAGAGCCTGCCCGGGCTGAAGGGGAAGGAGCCGGTGGTCTACCCCTGGATGAAGAAGATCCATGTGAGCACGGGTGAGTTGCCCTTGCCAGGGGGAGGTGGGGATGTGCCTGCGGAGGAGGGAAGGGGGGGGAGGGTGCTCCCGGGGCCGGGATGGGTCGGTGCGTGTGTGGCTTTTTTTTTTTTTTTCCCCTTTCTTTCCCTCCTTCTCCCTCCGCGTTTCCTAATAATAAAAAAAAAAAAAAAAAAAAAAAAAAAGTGAGAAACCTTTTGTATCCGGGGTCCTTTATCAAAAGATTTACGAGACGCCAAACTGTTAGGGCAGTAATTATAGCCCCCATAAATTTAATTGCCCTGCAGTGGCTCTGGGCCATGTGTCTTTGAAGCTTTTCTTCTAACCCAAATGCCCATCACCATTTTTTATTGCTCCTCGATTGTCCCCACTGTCGATAGGCTGTGAAACAATTTTTCTTGCCGTTTATGTATCTCATGTGAACCTGGTGTCAAGTTATTATATAATGATTATGTTCTATCGCTTCCCCCCCCCCCCCCCCTTTTCTTTTCCCTCCGCGTGTGTGTGTGTGTGCGCCTGTGTGTGCACGTTTCAGTCAATCCCAATTACAACGGAGGGGAGCCCAAGAGGTCTCGCACTGCCTACACCAGACAGCAGGTCCTGGAGCTGGAGAAGGAGTTCCACTTCAACCGCTACCTGACCAGGAGGCGACGCATCGAGATCGCGCACACCCTCTGCCTCTCCGAGCGCCAGGTCAAGATCTGGTTCCAAAACAGGCGCATGAAGTGGAAGAAAGACCATAAACTGCCTAACACAAAGATGCGCTCCTCAAACCAGTCCACACTGAGCCAGCAGTCCAAAGCACAGACACAGGGCCACCCCCACCCGCTCGATGGGGCTACACCCAACGCAGCCGCGCTATAAATACGGTTTTGTTTTGTTTTGTTTTTTAAATATATATATATTTACGTATCTATTGGGGGTTTCCAGCTGCCCCGTGGTGGAGGCTGGCTGTTTGGACCAAACAACTGTGTAAAACAAAACAGGAGCAGGAAAGGAAGACGAGACGTGCCCAAGAACGGGCACATGTTTAAACCAAAACCCGGACGATTGTCTACATTGTATATAGATAATGGTTCCATGCCCATCATTTTTTTTCTATTTATGGAAACACTCTCTTGCCCTCGGTGTAAGAGAGGGCTGGATGCTGTCACGGACGAATTCTCTGTACCTAAGACGGACTTTTTTTTTTTTTTTTTTTTTTTTTTTTTGAGAACACTTTAAAAATAAAAGACGGTTAAAATAAAGCAAAGACCTCGTGAGACACTTGTGTAAGGCATTGACTTGAATAGCGCTGTTTCGTGGCGTGTTCGTGAATTCCTGTGTGCGTGTGTGTGTGTGAGGGTGCACACGCACGTATGCACACACACCAACACGGGAGAGAGAACGAACACGTCCACGGGAGGTTAAAGACTTAAGAAAAATGTCCCTTTACGCTGTCTAAAGGAAAATGTTTTATGTATCAAAGGTAACTTAACTGGTTTTAAGTGTAGCCCCCGCAGTAGCTGTGATCTATTAGTTTTTCTTCACATTCCCTGTTGCATTTATTTAAAGAAATGTTGCTATAAAGGCTGTTGCTGTCTTCATATTTGGCACCGTCTAAATCGTTTGGGTCCATGTACAATTTGTGGATTTTTGGTGTAATGTATAACAGTGCCAAATGCTGGTAATAAAGATTATTCTGTACAAAAGAATTAAATGCTTGAAACACAAGTCCACTTAGTGCTGTTTCATCCACCTTGTGCTTGGCTGTTGTTGGCACCAGGAATGGAAAACAACGGTTTAACGTATTGTTTTAACTTGGATTCATCTTGTCAGTAAGGTAATGCTTGCTTTAAATATAGTGAAAAACATCCTCACTCCTTATTGCTTGGCTGGGAAAAAAAGAGTGCTGCAGGATGAGGAAAGGTCTTGCTTCTTTGTATAGGTGAGTGGTATTCTCTTTAGCGGGCGTCTGGCAGAATCAGTCTGGCTATCCATCGCTGACCGTACGACTATTTTCAGCTGCGTTACAGAGAAACTCTGCTTCTACTGGGAGCCAATAAGCTCCTTTGATGGGTTTTGCTGGAGGAGAAGTCACACACGCTCCCCTTGATAACACTTGAAATCTGTGGGCACTTGTGATTTATTCGTTCATTTTCACCCGATTATGATTTCTCAATTGGCTAGCAATTTTGAAGGGGAATGCATGGGCGGTAACATAAAGTTTCTCTTAGCTGCCTTTTCTGTTTCTTTTTATTTTATTTTTAAGACTATTTCGAAATGTGTTGAGAAAGCCTCGGCAGCAACATGGATTTGGGTACAACTCAAGAGGTTTCTTTGACCGAGCTTGTCGAAACGGCTGTGGCAAAATGGGGTTCGAGTGGTTCCAGCTCGGGCTGCGCACCTCGCTGCTTCCAGGCGGTGAAGGAGAGCAGGCAAAGCGGAGCTGCTAACGGGGAGCCTTGCTCAGGGCTTCCACAACAGAGAGTAGCACTGAGTCGGGTAGGAAAGGGCTTGGAAAGGAGCTCAAGTGCTAGTAAATCTTCCAGGGAAGGCCTGAAGGCCAAGACTTACCCAAATACCTCCGAGAGGGATTTTTTTGAATCAATGCTTCTTTTTGCGTGAGCGAGGCCACCAGGGCCGGGTGCATCGTCACCCCCTGGGTGAGCAGCACCAGGCCCCACGGGTATTGCCAGCATCCCTGCCTGACCGCGCAACACGGGGTGTCCTGGCAAAAAATGTAACGTGCCACTGGGAGAGCATGGTCAGCATCAGAGAGGTGGCAGCTGTAAACACCCTCAGCAAACACTGCTGGCTCCAAACCTGACCAAGGAGCAGGCCTGAAAAGCACGCTTACACTCTTATATTGCTGTTTACTAAATCCTGAATTGCCAGCTGCCTCCTTATAAAGGGAGAAAAATAGGGCTGTAAGTGAGGTAGCTACCATCCGCAAGCGTGTAAGTCTTCATTTTGTTTATTGCTTGAAAATCCCTCAACATATTTAGAGCCAAAATTAACACAACCGATCAAAATTCCGGATGAAATGTATTAGCTGGAGATGCAGGATTTCTTTAGTGTGCAGCCTATGCGTATAAACCTGGTTTGCTCCCATTGTGAAGAGAAATGAAATCACGCTGCAAATAGCAATTTTAGTGAGAATCATTAATCACCTCCTACAATAAATACTTCTTTGTGATTCAACAGCGGTTCTGAAAGGCATTCTCTTGGAAAAGTCTGTGAAGACGCAAAGGATTTTCCTGGAAAAAAAAAAAAAAAAAAAAAAAAAAGTGGTCATGTGTAAAGACACAGCATCTTGGCTGTCTGCTAAAAAAATGTACACTCTCTTGCTGGAGATTGAACCGCGGACTGCAAAATACCCCATGGCAGATTATCGTCATTTAAGGTAAATTTTCCTTTTCCCCCCTGCTTTCCCCTCTGCCTGTGCTGGGAGCAGGACGCTGCTCCCGGGCTGGGAGCCCTCTGCTCCCCGTCCAATACCGCCCGTCTTTACAATAACTTCGAAAATTACATCGTCCAGTTTAAATTCTTGCATTGTGCTCCCTTTGCTAAGGCAACCGGGAGTTCACCGAGAGGACAAATTTTCTATCCCATTAATTGTTTTTTTTAGAGGAGCAGACTGACCCTTCAAACCCTTGACCTTTAAAGACAGTATTCTTTTTAATCCGGCACTTGGACCTAAATGTCTCTTCACCCCCTCCCTCTCTCCCTCTCTCCCCGTGTCTCACACACGGATTTATCTGCTCTGGCCACAAAGGCAAGCGCGGCCCGAAACGCTGGAAGTGGAAGTTTGTCAATATTTCAAAGAAAGACCAAATCACCTCGGAGTCAATTTACTGGCCGCAGGGAACGCCACGCCGTTAACCCCTTTACCCACCTCCCCTCCACCCACCAAGAGAAATGCTCCTTTGCCAAGATCCCCCTCCTCGTTTCTCCTGCAAGCTCTTGCTATAGCTGGTGTTTTATTACACGGGGAACTCAGCTGTGACAAGCGCCTTGTGTTATTTAATAACTGGAGCCATCCTGCATTGGAGGACTACCCAATGCTGGGACTTTTTACTTCTTTTTTTTTTTTTTTTTTTTTCTTTCCCTTTTCCCTTCTTTTTTCTTTCAGGGTGCTTGCCGTCCCGTGGCCTTCTTACCCGGTGTTTGTAAACGAGGAAGGGGTGGGGGGAGCCCTCACACAGGCAGAGATCTTGACAGACGTGAAACTCCTGCCCCCCCCCCCCCCCCCCCCCCGCCCCGTGTCCCCTCCCCGCCCAGCTCTGGGGCCCGATCCGGGCGGCCCCGGGCCCGCCCGCCGTTCCCACACCTCCGCCGGAGCCGGCCGGGCGGCGCGGCCCGGGGCCCCCGCGCGTCGCGGCCCCACGAAGGGGGAAGCTCTTGCCGGGACCGGAGCCCCACAAGCCTGGCCGGGCCACGGTGGGGTGGGACCCTCCGGGTCCTCCCGGTCCACCCCCCCACCCCCCCCAAGCCCGGCCCACGCGGGTCCCGGTGGGGTCGGGACTCCCCGCACGGGCAGGGGGAGCTCCGCGGCCGCCTCCCCCCGGCCCCGGGCAGCGCTCCTGGCTCCGCCCGGGCCCGCGGACAGGCCGCGCTGACCCGCGGAGGGCAGCCCGGGGGATGCCGCCCCTGCTGCTCCCCTGTCCCCCGGCCAGCAACGCTCAGAGCCCCCCCGCCCCCGCTGCAGACAATGAGGGTCTGGGTTCAACTGGCTAATTTGGGCTGGGGGGGGGAGTGGGGGGGGTAAAGCTGCCCCGTCTCGCTGTAGAGAGCGGGACAAGCCCGTGTTATTGATGCCCAAGCGCTCTCTCTAAGAACTGAGGAGCTGTCAAAGCCAGCAGAGATTAGGAGACCCAAGTACGAGGATCCCTGCGCTCGCAGATAAAGGTGTTGCGTCTGTTCTGGGGGAGATATTGAAATTTTAATCTTTAGGGTCACGTGACTCATTAAATAATTAATGCAGATAGTCAGGAATGGATCTGTGGCCGTCAGTCCTCACTAGGAGTGATTCTCTCAGAAGTGAAACTCAACTCCTTATTACTGGAGTTTGTTTTTCTTTCTTCCTTTTTTTTTTTTTTTTTTTTTCCTTCCCTTCAAAAAAAACCCCACCTGATTTATCTTGAAAGATTCTAAACTTCTTAAGCAAGCAGTAGGGTCTGTGTTGGTAAGTAGGTAGTGTGCATTTCTAGCTTGATGACTTTAATTGTTTGTGCTTGCTTTGTCTGCTGAGCATTTGCTTAACAAGTTTAATATTTAGAAATGTTAAATCTTTGTTTTAGCTGCCTTGTGGTCACATTACGGCTTTTGGTGATTAAGTGTTACCGAGGCAAACACATTTGATAATGTTCTAATTCACACTGTGGAAGGCTGGGTGCCACAGTGCAGGAGGACCTGCTTTGTTCAATTTTCCTGGCGTTAATAAATCACCGGCTCCTAATGCAGGGCCAAAAAAGCAATGGAGAGGCAGTGAGCATTGTAAAGGAAAAGTCATGGGCGAATTTCTCTATGACTCATTAGTCTGAACGATTTATGTACCAACTTAAAGTGTCGCAATGAATATTAGAGTTTGGGATAACAACAAATTAAAAAAAAAAAAATCTCATAGCGTTTGTAAAGTGCTTTATTGCTACTTAGCAACTCTTTCAAGAAGCAGCATGGTTTAAAGGACTGTGGCAGTGTAAAATATGGTGGCGTGACTTAATAGCTCCAAAATAAATAACATAAAGTCTCTGGCACCATTTTCAGATACGTGCTCCATATTTAACACGAGTGGGGCAACCCAGTCACGACACGCTTGATCGATGATTATTGCCGTTTGGAACATGACTATTGATTAGGGATCAAAACGGCTAAGGTATGAGATTGAGCCTAAAATGCCAGGGGGTTCCCCCTGCGCTGGAGCGGAGTGGAGAGAAAGGTAGAGCTAAGAATAACCCCAGGCAGCAGCGTCCGGGCTCCGCGATTGCAGAATGAACTTTCCATTTTCTTTTGTGTTTGCCAGTAGATTTTAACAGTCAGCGCTCTCAAATTTATGAGATGGCAATAAACAGCTTAGTAGGCTATTATTGCATGATTTTATGTAGACTGGAGTTCAACAGCAAATTTAAAATTATTAGCGTAATTACGGAACTACTAAATTACCAAAGCAAAGTCTCTGCTCGAAAAGTTCTCCCAAGACAGACTTAATATTTCCAAGGCTCAGATGACACCCTTCCTCAAGAACTGTGTTATTTAATTATTAGCATTTACATTTACTGACAATTTTAAGATGCGTTAGATGGCTTTTATTAGCGAGAATGAATACGAGGGGGTACATTATTATATCTGACAAATTCATATGTAAACGTGATTCAGTAAGTGGCATGCGAATAATCTGACTATTGTCTTTTTGGATTGTGCAATATTGTTTATTTTAGGGGAAGAGAAGCCGTCCAGTTTCTTCCCCTCCATCAATGGCTTTCAGCGTGTTTGTTGTTGTTTTTTGTTGTTGTTGTTGTTTTTGTTTGTTTGTTTGTTTTTCTTTCTTTTTTTTTTTTTTTTTTATGCTTTGGGCCCGATCCCGCTTCAGTAAGGTCAATTGTTAGTCTCTTATTGCGCTAGTGGTGGCAGGATCGGGCCCCGGCTAACCGTTTGAATACAAGCCCAACCACAATACGCCCCGCATTTAAACTGGAACCCTTTCCGCGTTTTATTCAGCAGAGATGAACACCACGACTTGTGTTTAATGTCTGTTCTTGATTAAATGATCCTAAACAAAGGTTTCCCAGAGGAAAATAAAGCAGACATTCATGTAACAAGAGTTTGGAATGACAATATTTCCAAACACTTGGAGACAGAAGGCATAGCTGTCTATGGGAGGGAAAAAAAAAAAAAAAAAAAAAAAAAAAAAAAAAAAAGCAACCAACAACCGCACGCTTTTATTTCTCAGCTCCCCGTGCTGTTCACCCGGGTGGGAACCCACGCTCCTCTTCGGGAACCCTCTCCCGCTCCATCCCTGCCCTCTCCCACCGCAACCCGGCAAACCATGTATTGCCTCTGAAGGAGCAAAATACCTCCCCCCGCAGCCACCGGTAAGGCGCTGTTTGTTGCTTGCTTACAGGGCACCCCGCAAACAGCCCCCTCGGCCGGGGCGGCCCCCGAGCTCCGGCCCGGCCCCGCGCAGCCCAGGGAGGTAAGAGCCGGGACGCGGCCGGGCCGCCGCCGCGGATTTTGCGCCGATCGCTGCTGTAAGCAAGCCGTTCGCTTACTACCTGCATGCAGAGCAAGACTGCTGGAATGAGATTTTGTTGTTGTTGTTGTGATAAATATTTAACCTAGCTGGAATTTTTTTTTTTTTTTTTTTTTTTTCTGGATTGGCTCTATTCATCTTCCGTGGGTAGTGAAGGCGCGTGTCTGGGCAGACAAAGAAGCGTACGGGACCTGAGTGATCGCCATCCTTATAAAGGCATTGGGGACAGGAAGGATGCAAAGTCATTTGAAGAGCGAAAGAGGTTGAGAGTTTCTTTTTCCATTCTTTGCTCCTTCCCAAATCAAAGGCGTAAGGCGGGGGAGAGCGGGTCGGAGCCGTTTCGGTGTTGGCTGGCTTAGCGCGGCTTGTCTGTTCGCCTCCTCCTCGAGGAGCTCCGCAGCCAGTCCTGCAAACGTGGAGTGCATGTGGGCATGTTAGAAAAACCTGATTTTTGTCTGAGTGCGTGCACCAGAAGTGGACCGCGAATAAGTTTCGGGTATTTGTCTGTCCTGGTCTGCTTTGCACCGGGCGGAGGTGGGTGTTTGGTGGTTCGGAGTTGCTGGAGCCCTGGATGCGTTTGTTCTTCTGGCAAGAGGAATGTGATGCTTTTCATAGTGACCATTTTCTTATGCCGGCCACCGAGAGGGAAGGGTTACAGAGAATTAGCTCAAATTCTTGCTAGATTTACCTGCTTATTTTTGGACGCTGATGTACAATTAGTATATTTTACTACCTTTTAAAAGCGGCCATAAATTACAGGACTACAAGGGCTCTTTGTGTTGGCTTAATGGGCTGCTTAAATCTTAACTACAAAAAGGCGCTGCAAATGTCTATTCACGGTTGTGTTAGGAAATTAAAAGCGAAAATACGGTACGAAGGAACCTTCCTCCCGTGGCATGTACCCACAGCCCTGCGTGCAGAGGTATTTGGGATTGCTGAACTGACCCAACACTGGCAGACTCAGCTGACTCTGAGCAGAACTTCTCCCACAAGGGCACAGTAGATAGCTGTATTCTTTTTATCTGCTTGGAAATGATCAAAGACCGACTTTATCAGACGCACAGATGTAGGTAAACAGCTCTGCGCCCCAGCAGATTTCAAATCTCTCGAGGAGGCAAGGAAATAAATACTTATATCGTACCGTGGTTCCCATT